AAGTGAAAAAAGACTTACTTTTAGTGAATGATGAAAGAAAAACATTGTTTTACTCGTAAAATTAATTAGTATAAGATTTAATGAATGATATATTCAATAACAACTTATATTCACTTTAAATATAAAAAAATCATCACAACTTTTATTTGTGAAGTATAAAAAGGTTTGTCCTTTCTGATTAAAAACAAAAACAAAACAATTTGTCATTAACTATAAACCAAAGAAATAATTTATTAGTTTCAAAAATATATGTTTCTATCAAAAGCCAAAAGTGGTCGCGTCAGAGGATGGGACCCACAATTCCTAAATGTTGCCGCCTGTCTTACTCACATCCTATGCTTTTATTGATTGCAATGTTTTAGTTAATCTCTCTTCATATCTCTATGATCCTCTCTTTAATATTCGCAATTAAGGACCCTCATTTTTTTTCTAAATTACTAGTACAAAGTTAAGCCTTTCATGAACAAGATACGTATAGAGAATTAGAGTAGGATTCTAGAACAAAAGCATATCGTTTACATTAAATAAAAAAAAATCGACAGTAAAATTGAAGTGAAGACTGAAGAGGGACCGGATCCGTACAAAAGATGGACCCCAAAATATATAGTACAAGACATAAATCATTCTAGTTCGTATAAGGCCAGGATTATAGTTAAACTAGTGACCAAACACTTTGCTAATGAGTTCGAGAATAATATAGTACTACAGTAGTAGTAACTAGTAACGCAACAGTTATAGTTATTGTCTTTAGGAACCAACGAGGAAAGGAATATATCTGTGGGTTTATTTAACCAGAGACCAGAGATCAGTTTTTATATTTTTGTCTCTTGCCTCTCTAGTTTGGCTCAGTGACGACTTTGTCCCTTTTCCACCACACAACAAGCATTTTCTCCACATATTTTCAATTTTCTCATAGTTCCAATAATTAGTACTACTCGTTAAGAACAATTGAACAGCATAAATTATATTAACAAATGATTAAGATTTTGTTGAGAGCTCGTTAGAGCATTTCCGATTCCACTCTTTATCTTTTATGTTTTGATCGTAGGAGTGTTATTGTCAATCTACTATTTTCTACAATAAAATATGGAAACATTGTCAACCTACTATTTGATACTATTTTTTTTTAGTTAATTTGAAATCTAAAAAAATTAATAGGTTTTGTAAATGTTAATTTTTCACTACAAGAAAATCATATAGAACTATGATTCTTATTTCATCGAATATACTAGTTAAGTAGATTTATTATTAAGATTGAAACAAAATAAAAACAAGTACTTTTCTTGTATTATTGTTTTCTTAAAACGTGTTTTGAGGACAATGTATATATACGCTAAATGAATAATAAGCGTTGCGCATATTTATGTCTGTCCTTTTTTCAAGGCTTATGAC